GGACGGACGGAGGGACAGACGGAGGGACAGACGGAGGGACAGACGGAGGGACGGAGGGAGGTGGGAATGGAGGGAGGGAGGGAGGGAGGGAGGGAGGTATGAACGGAGGTATGAACGGAGGGAGGAACGGAGGGAGGAACGGGGGTAGGGCTGAGGCATGGAGGAAGGCAGGGAGAGGAAGAGTCAGTCGTATCAATGAGGATGCCGCAATCAAAGAGAGATGTGGAGGGAGAGGATTTATTCAGATGCTCGGGAGGGGTGAAATTCAAGGATCAGAAGGAGGCCTGCGAGGTGACAAGTGTTGAATAGGAAGGATTAACAGTAGGTAGCATGGCTGAGAGTGAAGAATCCATTAACATGTATGAGCGACTGACATGACGCGGCGGGGAGGGGGATTGGAGGATTGCCAGCACATCGTGCAAAGATGGCATGTTGACCACCTCTGGGGCAACACATGCCTGGTAGGTAGTGACGGTTGGTGCTGCAGATGTCAGAGCAAGAACACAGATCACTTCGGCTTGCTATCATCGAGTACCTTAACGGGGTTGCCAAAGATGGTTCGCTGAGCGCTGACGCTACTGAGAGTTTGGTGAGTTTTGCAAGCGACTTGCTCGACAAGGGATTATCTTCGGGATAACTTCTTGTTCATGTTGAGGAACTTCAATCCATGTTTGTTTAGCATGCGATCTATCAGCAGAGTGTCTTCAAACGACTGCACTCTCATCTAACGCTCTTCTTATGCAGGAAGTGGCAGTACAATGCCTGATGGAGGCATTCGGGATCGAGAGCATGGACAAGTGTACAGAGGAGAACGCAATCAAACCTCTGACGCTGCCTGTTGTCTTCCACACTGGCGTCCAGGTCTTGATGGGATCCGAAAGCAATGATGCTGCGAAGAACGTGCCGGAGGATTCGCAGCAGGTAGCTGCGACCATGCCGATGTCAACTACTCGAGATGACACCTTTATAGGGAAGGCAGGCAGAAAGGCCAGCAGAGCATGACGAGGGTCAGGAAGCGCTGTTCAAGAAGTTCATCGTCACGTTGAAGGAGCGGGGTTTCTTCGCGGGGCTCGAGGAGGGGACGGTGAAGTTGTGCGGGTGCGGGTCTGCCGTCCTGATTCCTGACGTAGCCTGAATGGGATGAGCGAATGGGTCGAGCAAGGGCGAAGTTTTCGGAGCGATACTCAGCGTCGTCGATGGCTCCAGCAGGGAAGAAGTCTCAGGAGCCCGCGGCTGCAGTAGAGCCTCTGCGGGAGAGGCTGCAGGAGGAAACGAAGAGGATGGAGGAGGTAGGCTGCTGCTTTGGCCTGCTGATTCGTCCGACTTGACCCGCTGCTGAAGGCTGAGGCGGAGAAGGTGAAGGGCAACGATCACCTAACAAACCAGCGCTATGCTGAGGCTGTGCGAGCATACAGCTCTGCCATCCAGCTGTGGCCCAACAACGCAGTGTACTACTCCAACAGAGCAGCAGGTGTGTGAGATCTCCATTGATCTGATTGCTCCTTGTGTCATGGGGTCGAGTTGATCATTTTTTCATGTTCAGCCTACACACATATGCACATGTACGACGAGGCGATCAACGACTGCAGGAAGGCGATCAAGGTGCATCCGTGTAGTCGTGTTGCTCTGCTGCTGAACACACCCGACAGATCAAACCAGACTTTGCTAAAGCGTACTCCGATTCCGACTCGCTCCTGACTGTTGGTAAGAGATTCTGCCAGGTACTCGAGATTAGGAACAGCACACTTTCAGGCAGGGCGGTACAAGGAGGCGCTGGACGAGGGGTATGCCTTGACCATGCAGTGTTCGACTCTGATGTTGACCTGCTCAGATATCTTACGGCAGCTGAGCTCGAGCCCAGCAACCAGCAGTATGCGAAGGTGAGGTACAAACAAGACGCTCCTTCATGTGACGCCTTCTCAGGCTATCGACCTGGCCAGATCGCGTCTCAACGAAGCAAGCAACAGGTTCAGTAGCGTGCTCTTGCCTGACCCGCTTCCTCAATGTGAGTGGTGTGTTAGGGCCTTTCCTCAAGGGGCAGGGGCTGCCGGCGGCTTCGACATCGACGAGGCGCTCTTGGGAGGAGCCGGAGGGCTCTTCAGCAACCCAGAGCTCTTGCAGGTGTGACGTGCGATGTTTGTGATGTTTGTGCTGACGATCCTGCTGCTGGAGCAGACGCTATCGGCATTACAGGTCTGGCGAATTCCTCCATCTGTTCCTCCCTCTTCCCGCTGGCATGCCCAAAATCTTGCACCTCGCTTCTCTTCTGACCCTTCCCCGTCCTTTCCCCGTCCCCGCCCCACCCACCTTCCTCTCTCTGTCTCTCTGTCTCTTATCTCTCGTCCCTGTCCCCTTCCCCCTTGTCTACAATCGTCCTCCTGCATCTGATCGCATATTTTCTCAGGGGGGCTGTCCTGGAGGATTCCCCAATGCCAACAGCGCTGGAGCCATGGGGAACGAGGGGGATGGAAACGCTTTCCTTTCGCAATCGGCAGAAGCTTTTCAAGCAGCTCTAGCGTCGCCCGGCTTTGAGGACCTGAGAAGCAGTGCCAAGGTGCGGAACTAGATTCGCCTGGCTCTGTCCTACTTTCTGACATTTATTCAGGCGCAGAAGATTGTCTCGGACTTGCGTCAGTACGGGCCCATGGCCTTCATGAACTACGTCAACGACGACGAGGTGATGCCGTCTAGATCAACATCTCTACCTGCTCTCCTCTCTCCTCCTCCGTCCGACTTTCTTACCTGCTCTCCTCCTCTCCTCTACTGCACTCTACCTCAAGTATTCTCTTCCTCTCAGCCTTTGCTTCGCCGAGTCTGCGACTCAGCAGGCCTTTCGCTCCTTCAGCACGTAGCATCGACTAAGTTCTTGTGCTCTGACTTCGTGACGTGCCGCAGGCCACCGACATTATCAACCGCTTGTCCTCTGCCGCTCTGACTCACTTGGGTCCACCGGGATATTCGTAGCCTACGTCCGAGTATACCGTGCGAGTTTGCCCGTCAGTAAACGCCTCATTACACTCTGAGTGCCAGTGCCGGGAACGGTTGCCACATCGGCCAGTGGGCCGGGCCCGAGGCAGCACTGAGGCTGGCCCTGCGTTGTCGCCGGATGGCCCTCACGGCCTAGCAACTCCGAGATTGGGATATGCGTCCCACCCTTGTCGCTGGCTTTTCTGGATTATAATCCAGAAAAAGGTGGGTGGTACTCATTGCAATGAGATAGAGCTCTAAAACTATTCCCCATAACCCCTTCCTCTCACTCGCATTTGTACCGGTGGAGGTGACAACTAGTCAAAGCGAAAACCTCTCTTTTCAGTGGGGCAGCATGACACAAGAAGTCAAAGCGAAAACCTCTCTTTTCAGTGGGGCAGCTAACGTTCAGATCTCCCTTCAACAAGGCCTCCTGGGGCCCCGTCCCGTCTCCTCGCACGCGCAACCCTGTCTCATGCACACCCTCTACGTAAAGTCTCGTCCCAGGCGCTCCTCCAGCCGACATATCGTGCAGCTCTCCCTCCCCCTCCTCTCCCGCCTCTTCCACCTCAAGCAGCCCCTGGCCGCCGACTGCCTCGGCATCTCCCTCACCTCCCTCAAGAGCGCCTGCCGCAAGCTTGGTCTTCGCCGGTGGCCGTACGAGCGCGCTCAGCAGCGGGAGAGCGAGGAGGGGTCGGGTCGTGGCTCGCTCGCAGACAGCAGCAGGCTCGCTCATGCGACAGGAGGCGGGCCTACGGATCAGGAGGAGCAGCTCAACCCGGTGTTGTCTTCTGGCGACCCCTCGCCCTGGCGTTGTGTAGGGCTGGAGGGGCTGGAAGGGAGGGAGAAGGGATGTGAGGAGGCGAGAGAGGGTCTGTTTGAGGAGCTTTTCGGAAGCTTGCCGCTGGAGGTGGAGGAGGAGCAGCAGAGGAAGGGCTGTGAGCTTGAGATCTTTTAACAGTCCAGTTGTATTAGGATAATATCGCCAGTCTTTGAAAACGTTAAGTCTTATCTGCTTTGCATTTTTTTTTTTTTTTTTGCAAGATTATTGAACACCAAATTATTGTTGCCAAAAGGCTTGGTGCTCGTGATTATGGTCCTCAGTTATCACCGCAACAAGTGCGAACGAGCTGTCTCCTGTGACAGTTGGACTTTCCTGTTCCCCTCTTGGTTCTCAAAGTGATTTTGTTAGTAGCCCTGCGGCATGCCGAGCATCGGCGCCCCGTAGTGCGAGAATTGCACTTGCCCTACTCAAGGCTTGCCAAGTTCACCGAGTTACACTGATGAGTATGGCAAGGTACTCCATCACACTGTCAAGATCATCCCAGTGTTAGAGCTCGAAGGAACAGGTCTCTCCCCAGAGCCAGATATAGCTGCAGCAGAACTCGGAAAGGCGTCATCTACAGTTGATTGTGATTTCTACTCCAACAACAGAGCCTGGCAAGACACCTATGACCATCGCAGTGAGAAGGCTCACATCATCCTTTGGGTTTATTCCCGCCCGTTGAAGTTGAGCAAGCCGCCGGGGACCCGGAAGCTTACAGTAGTACTATGGCTCTTCTCAGTTTTACAACTCAGTGACCTCCGAGGCTCCTTGCATCAGCGCACTGGTCAGTGAGACCCGGCCGCAACTTGACTTGCTGACTTGCAAACGGGCCCGGCACCGGGCCGCACAGTGATGGTTGACTCTGTGAGCCTTCCCTGCTGAGTCACCGGCCGGCGGCGCCGGGTACCGTACTGTCCCCCTCCGGTCTGACGGACTCGGGAGTACGGTCAGTCCGAGTGAGCCGGCCGGGCCCGGCCGCCGGCCTCTTGAGTGTAACAAAGGGGATCAACGGTTGCGAAATGACGGGGGTTGTGAAGGAGGGAATGCGGGAAGGGAAGGAGAGAGGGGCAGAGAAGAGAGCAGGATGAGAGAGGGAGGAGAAGCGAGCATCATCTATACTTCATCACAGACAAGATAGCTCTTGATCATCATCTATACTTCATCACAGACAAGATAGCTCTTGATCATCATCTAGACTTCATCATAG